GAGGTCCCCCTTCCAAATACTTGCCAGGGTCAGCCCTGCTTAGCTTCCAAGATCTGACGAGACTGGGTTTTCCTGGGCAATCCAAGTCAAGGCCTGCTGAAGCAGCTTTTAAAAAGTCTGCACAGCCAATGAGATCTCCAGTGGCCAGTCAGAAGCCCTGCTGGGGAAAGCTCCACTGGCCCTACCCACTTTCTAAAAACACTTGGTGGGCACCAGGAGAGGTGTCAGCAGGTGCTGTGGGGCCCTCAGACACCATGTTGGGGACCTCTGACTTGGACAGACATTATTCAGAAAACCAGAAGATTCTGCAGGCGAGGGAGAGACAATAAGGCTGCTCCCACCAGTCTGCCTAGAACATCACTTGGACCCTCTTCTCATTGTATTGTATTGGCACCTATTAACCATTTTGTGGAAGGAGAGGGAGTGAACAAGGTCCCTCCTGCTGGAATACTCAGTTAATTTCTACCTGTATTATGTGCATATCCCCTGTAAGTCACCTTGAAAGCAAACTTCTGAAAACAGGGATATAAATGTTAAACATAGATACAATAGGAGAAGTCTTCATACAGTTTAAAAAACTTTGTTACAATTGTCCCTCTTCAAGCACAGTACAGTTTGAATGTTGCATGCAGCCTCAAGTTTTAATGCCTCCAATCCAACATGTAGGCACAACAAAACTGCTGCCCACGACAAAGGTATCCTGCAAAGAAGCCCATTGGAAAACAAAATTTGTTTCAATAGGTGAGCTGCTTTTTTAGGTCATATACCCAGAAACTTTCTAGCTTTAGAAACTGGTCATAAGTGTGGCAAGCTGGTCATAAGTGTGATAAGCAGGATATTCATGTTCTCTGAAGACAGTAGAACCCTGAGCTGACACTTCTTCTGAAATAGATTCTTCTTTAGTGATAGCAAGTTGCACTTTTCACTAGATTATATTTGTTAAAATAGTTATACTCTGCTTTTCTGCAATATGCACACAACAGCCCTTTCCAAGGGCATTTCTTGCAGTCTTATTGACCATAGTGGAAAAGTGTGCTATGAGCTATCATCTCAGCATGTGCAATTACCATTTTGTCTGAAAGGGGCAACACGTGTATTTTGCACTTCAGAATGGATGAATACATACCCCCCAAATTCCAGTTTTCAGGCAGCATGTATCCTTGACTAAGGCTAAGTTTGTTTCCAACCAAAGTTAATAACACACAATAGAAATCATACCCAAAATACACTATAATAGTGTTTACCGTTCTCATTTAATTCAATATAGTGGGGAAGTGGAAGTGAAATGTAAACAAGTTCACACATAGCAATGCTGTGTTCTTCCATAATGTAACTACATATCTAACACAACACTCATTCTGATATTTTGATTGTATGTTTTTGCATGCTGGGGACAGTAAATGAATTTGCCATGTGTGAGCATACCACATCCTGCCCATAGATCTAACATTAAATACTGCATACCTTTCTGCAATGATCAGAGCTTCAGCAGTAGTACAAAATTCCATTTCTTTTTTCTGAATGAGATCTCATTGCATGAACTATGCTTTTTTAAACATCTTATATGTTTTCTGAGTTGATGAACAAAACCAGATTTTAAATTAGGTGATCCAATTTAAATTAGGTGATCAAATTCTAAAACTGTTAAACAGTGTAGCTTGTAGAATAATGTTCCAGTTTTTAAAATATATTTGTCTGTCAGTTCTGTTAATGTAATTTGGTGAAGTTTCAATACAGTGCAACTTCATGCAACTTTTGTGTGGAAGAAAGCTAGTATTAAAACTGAATGGTGCCACTGAAATTGTGTGGAGCTGGTCTAAATGTTATGTGTCAAGTCTTCTTGCTTCAGTCCTCAACTACTGGTATGGCTAGAGAAACAGCCTGAGTGATGGCTTTGATTAACATGGAGAGTTCACATTTGCAGCTGTGATATAGAAAATCCATAATAAAGATACCACTGTAGGTTTGCATTTAGACTGAGACCATTTGGAGTTGAAGGGGCACATTTTTGCTAATTTATTTATTTCTTATTGTTAATTTAGTTAATTGCTGTAATAGCAGGGTCACATGCTCCTGTTAGCTGGCCCTGACCCGTCAAGCTGTAGCATTCTGCAATCTGCACTACCTGTAACCCCCAAGCACTCTTCAAGGGTAGCCCCAAGTAGAGTGCATTGCAATCGTCCAGTCTGGATGTAACTAAGGTATGGATCTCTGTGGCTACATCTGACTGACCCAGAAACCAACACATCTGACACACCAGCCGAAACTGAACAAAAACCAATGGAATCACCACAGCCATCTGTTTTTCTAAGGTGACCACTGAGTTTAGTAGCACTCCTGTTGTGTACCATGATAAGACTATGCACACGTGATCGGGCTCGCATGTGGCCACAGGAACATGCTGAGCTTCGCACCCAAGGACAATAGCAGCTACGGATCTGAGAACTCACCAGTCAGTCAGCCCGGATCCTATTAGGGAACCAATAGGGGGAGTTGTGTGTAAATAATACAATCATGGGTGTGGGTGTGAGTGTTGGGTGTGTTTTGAACGGGAATATAAGTGGTCCATGGGCCACACTAGCTATCTCAAGTTCTCCTATGTACTAATAAAGTATGAGCTGAAATCACTACTCCATGCATCAGTCTCAGTACTTTATACTGGCGACGAGGATGAGATCCCGATGATCGAGCCTGACTCCAACTCCGCAGCAGAGAGCAACACACTGTGCACCGATCTCCAGGACACCGCACCCCGTACCGCTCCAGCTCCTCAAGTCATGGCTGCCACTCTGGGACAAATATCTACCTACAATCCAGCACATCCTGAACTCTGGGAAGCCTGGGTTGAACAGCTGAAACACTTCTTCAAGATCCAGAGAATAGACAATGCTGATTTCAAGAAGTCCTGGCTGCTGAGCACATGCGGGGTCACCATATAAGCGGGCCATGGCCATGCTAGTTATCTCAAGTTCTCCTATGTACTAATAAAGTATGAGCTAGAATCACTACTCCATGCATCAGTCTCAGTACTTTATAACTCCCAAGTTGTGAACCTGGCTTTTCAAGGGCACTATAACCCCATTCAAGAGAGGAGAGATATTCAGTCCCAGGTCTGCCTTTCTACTAACCCAGAGAACCTCTGCTTTATCAGGACTAAGTTCCAGCTTGTTCGCCATTCCTCTCCTGTCACAGCTTCCCATTTTACCCCCAACACTGTTCTGGGGGAGGATCCACTGACTCTAAGAACCATAATTTTGTAAAGGACAGAAGGCTACAGTGGGAACGGGGAGACTAGAAAGTTTCCTTTCTCAACCAGGACTCCATTTGTGCTGTTTAGGATCCAACCACTACCTATATCTGACACACACAGAGGCTAATTTTGAAGATGTTAACATTTGCTTTTCTGTTTTGCAGTACATAGATGAACTTTTTCAGAGACTGGTAAATCTCAAGGTCACAGAAATGTGCACTTATGGCGCGTTTAAGAATTCTCCTTCCCCAATATTTCTAGTTTACATGGATGATAAGAAAAAAATGGGGAAATTGTACACTTCTGTACAATTCATTTTAGACAAAAAGGATTACTCAGCCTTGTTCTATGTGGTTTCTGAAGACTTCAGCTCCAAAAGGGCTCCTTTAGTAACTGGTGCCATTTGAAGCAGAAATATTACATGTTGTTTCTTGAGTTATGGTGCCATCAAGTGGCCAGCTCTGCTCACCAATTTTAAAGTGTTCTAAAGTACTCAAACTACATGATGTCAATGTTATTTTGAATGGTGGCCTACATGGCACTAGTGGTCTGCGATATATTCTTTGGTGATCCTTGAAACTACCAAAGTGATTCTGAAAGTTTTCTGAGAGTGCCGACTGATGGAATGGCAAATGGTGTATGTGTTATGTGCTGTCAATTTGCTTCCAACTTACGACAACCCCTAGGAATTAATGATCTCTAAAATGTCCTATTATTAACAGCCTGGCACAGGTCTTGGGAGCTGAAGGCCATGGCTTCCTTTATTGAGTCAATCCACTTTTAATAGCATTATTTTATTATCCAGTGAATACAACACTGCTGTATGAAACAAGAGAGGTTAAAAAAAGAGCATTGCCTAGCCCTGGGAAGATACAGTAGGTGGAACTGGCCCTGAATCAACCAGGCCTCATTCTTCTCACTATAGTAATAAAATGATGTCCGGGCAACCCACTTCAGAGTGCATGTTAGGGGCTCATATATCTGAATGCTGCAGAAAGTGGATATCAGAGAAAGGGATTCTAGCATGGAGGTTCATTTCTAGTGCCACCCTGAACAGAGATGGCTTCAATGGGCTTAGAAGGGTGCAGCTCTGCTGAGGAATGAACTCTAAATCGTGTATGTACTTCCATTTGCAGGGGCAGATTTGCCCTTTACTCTACCGGGCTGCGGGGCTACTGGTGACCAGTAATAAGCCAAGCTGAGCTCCAGAGCAGGGAACACTCAGCTTGGACTCCACTAGCAGCTTGCTAGAAAGCCAGTTTGGTGTAGTGGTTAAGTGCGCAGACTCTAATCTGGGAGAACCAGGTTTGATTCCCCACTCCTCCACTTGCACCTGGCTGGATGACCTCGGGCAAGCCATAATTCTGGCACAGCTGTTCTTGAAAAAGAGCAGTTTCTGTCAAGAGCTCTCTCAGCCCCACCTACCTCACAGGGTGTATGTTGTGGGGAGGGGAAGGGAAAGGAGTTTGTAAGCCGCTCTGAGACTCCTTTGGGTAGTGAAGGGCGGGGTATAAATCCAATCTCCTCCTCATCTCCTCTCCTCCTCCTACAAAGTTCTATCCAAACGTTTATGTGGGATGAAATGCATCCACCAAAGGGACCAGAGGGGCACAAGCCTATGCGGCGAACCTCTCTCAGAGAAAAGTGTAGTTCAGTCTTATTCTTCTGAGTTTCATCATATGAATGATCTCAAAGGAAGCAAATAACTTATAGCCCAGTGGAAACACCTGGGTCCATACTATGACGTCTGAGTATGTATGCCCTCTGTTCACATGATCCCTCTGCAAGTCCTGCGTTCCTTGTGCTGGTTTGTGAACTTTGGTTTGCTGTAGGGTGCCGTTCCATCTCAAATGGCTTGCACTTTCTGACACAGCCCAACTACAGGGGCAAAAGTCACCAGGCATCAGTCGTTGTGCTGCTGGAACCCCAGATGCTGGTGGTCTGAGATCCAGCTGTGCCTCTGCTGCCTCTCACAGCTTGCTGCTTCTTTGGTGTGCTGTCGGTGTCCAGATGCTGGGTGATTTCCTCAAAAGAAGAAATGTCCAAGTCACTGTCCTCTTCAACAAACTGTAGCAAGAGAACAGACAAGAGATAATGCAAACACTATGAGAGTGGGTCAGAGAGATGCAATATGTAAACACAGTAGTGTGTGAATGACCTGTCCATCCTCTAAGAACCTTTCTAATAGTGCAGAGGGAGGACTTTATAAAGATTCTGGGTGTTTCTCTGATCTTAGCTGAGCATTTGATACATAAATCCACATCTCCAGAGAAAACAAAACCCTTAAATTAATTGCAGCCACTACTTGGACAAATAAATACCTGTACTTACTTGAAAGAAAGACAACACGCAATGTAAGATGACCCCCTTAAAAGTGTTATGTACACACACAAAATTATTATTGGACAGAACTCAACGTTGTATGTGAATATAAGACAACCCCCCCCTTTTTTGATGGCATACCTTTGAAAAAGCCTATTCTTGCATTTGAGCAAAGACAGTATTTAATATAAATAGAGAACAGACTACTCCAAGTTCACTCTACTGGTATACCACTACTCAGTATGACTGAGTGACTGCATATCAGCTAGGAACTCCCCACCTCTTTTTCTCCAGGACTATAAGGGAGAGTGCTTCAAAGCAGCAGGTTCATGGTTTAGTTTATCAAGGAACTTTCTCCAGTACAAGTATCAGGTTTTATCATTTTTATTGCTAACACACACACACACCGGGGGGGGGGGGGGAGAGAGATAGAGAACAAATTACAGACATTGATCTTAGCCAAAAAGCCAAGACGTCTCAAAAAGGGAACTAGTTAGTCTAATAAAATCTTTAAAACCTTGGGAGTCTCCAGGATGTGATAATATTCCACCTGAATTACTTAAACTTGACCCAGACTGGTGGGCTTCCTCTCTGGCATCATTATTTACTGAGGTAAATCAGACTGGAGAAGTACATGACAGTTGGAAATTAGCAATTATAGTTCTGTTTTTTTAAAAAAAGGAACAAAAGACAATCCAGCTAACTACTGCCCTATAAGCTTACTCTCTTATAGGCAAGCTTTATGCTAGCCATTTAGCCAGCAGGCTGAAAGTATGGATGGAGAACACAACCATCTTAAACAATGCCCAATATGGATTTAGGAAAAAACCTTCCTGCTTGCATCTTTGTTTCATGTTACTTCTTTAGTGAATAAATATACAAAATGTGCAGGCAGTGTCCTTTACTCTTCGTTTATTGACCTCTGTGGTACATTAGATTCTATATCTCTTATTACACTTTGGAAAAAAACTTTTTAACATGGGTATGCCTTGCAGATTGCTGCCATTTATTAGGAATCTATATTCTGAAAATATTCATCAGATTTGTATACCAGGAAGCTCCACCCTCTCAAACCCAATCAGGGTAAGAAGAGATGTTAGGCAGGTGTATCATCTCCCTTATAAATAAAAGCCGAATGGTACCCCCCTTTTTTCAAAAGAAGTTTATAAGACCCATGTAAGGAGCTCTTATTCCAATAGTTGGTTTGATAAGGATTGTAGGCAGGCCAAGGTAAGCCTAATTAGGTCCTTTAAGGCTTTTCAAAGTGCCCCAAACTCTATTTCAGCAGCTGAAATTCAAGAGAAGAAAAAAGAATATAAGGCAATTTTGAGAGCCAAAAAGTTAGCTGACTCTCAAAACAAATGGCAGGCCTTGATTAAAGCCGCCAACGCAAAAGACAGCAGAGAATTCTGGAAACTGGTTTCGAATTCCAACAGACAACTCGGCAATGTACCAGCCAGTAAGATTCCACCAAAACTCTGGGAAAACCATTATTCGACTCTATTCAGTGCCTATCACTCTGTTTCATTTATTACCACCCCTCTCGAGAACATCCCCTCCTGGGATCCGGTCTCTGCACAGGAAATTGAACATCTAATTAACAACCTGAAAAAAGGCAAAGCTCCAGGCAGCGATTTTATCACTGCGGAAGCTTTAAAGGCCAATCTTGATTGGTGGGCCCCAATTTTGGCCAATCTTTTCACCTATATAGATCAATCTGGCCAAATTCCAGCTGAATGGGGTCTCTCCATAATAATCCCCATATACAAGAAAGGCAATAGATCTGACCCGAACAACTACAGACCAATTAGTCTGTTAAACATTATATGTAAGCTATATTCACAATATCTTTGCCTTAAATTGTGCGCTTGGATGGCAACTGAACATATTCTCAACATTGAGCAAGCGGGTTTTAGCCACGGTCGTTCAACCCTAGATCATTGTCTGGTGTTAGACTATTTAATATTTAAATACACACAACATCAAAAAGGAACCCTTTTTGCTGCCTTCGTTGATATGAAGGCAGCTTTTGATTCAATTGACCGTGTGACATTATGGTCAAAATTGAATTCTACCACCATAGACAAAAGGCTTCTCCATTTGTTAATAAACCTCCATAGCAATAACACTCTTCAGGTAAAATATTCCTCAGACGGTAGACTATCCAAACCTATTCAGCTGAGGAGGGGTGTTAGACAGGGCTGTCCGTTAGCCCCATTTTTGTTTAATTTCTATGTGAACTCTCTTATATCCGATCTGCGTAACATCGATGTTCACGCACCCAAACTCAACTTCGAATATAAGGTACCTGTTCTTATGTATGCAGATGACACAGTTCTTTTATCTCTGACCAGAATAGGTCTAAAGCGAGCACTTACATCCCTCTCTAGCCACTGTCAGGAAAATTTGCTTTCAATTAATTTCTCCAAAACAAAAATAATGTGTTTTAATCAGAGGCAAAAAAATACACCTGGAAAGTAAATGGGAATGATGTCGAGCAAGTTAAGTTCTTTAAATACTTAGGGGTTACATTTGCATATAATGGTAACCCTGCAGCTCACATCAAATCAGTGGCTATTTCGGCGGAAAGAACTGCTTCTGCTATACTAAGATTTTTCAGAAAGGATGGTGCACACTTCATTCCAGCTGCCTTGAAACTCTTTTCTGCTAAAGTTTTAGCTCAAATGAGATATGGGACACAAATTATGCGATTTACAAATCTTCAGGCGTTAGAACTAGTCCAATCAAAATTCCTGAGATCTTTATTTAATACTCCAAGATGTACTTCCAACGTCATTTTGAGACAAGAAGCTGGTCTCAGTACAGTCGAACTGAATATATGGTTGCATTCTCTCTGCTTCTGGTTGAAAGTCCACCTGGTCCCCGCTGGGCTATTTCCATACCTATTGGCCGCATCTCCCTATCCCCAGTGGTTCACTAGAGCCACTAACAAATTGAGAACTTTAGGTTTAGACCCGTACCAACTTTTGGAAAGCGGCTATGTCAGGGCAAAATCTATTGTCA